CTTCCAGCTCTGCTGTGGACCACCAACTGTGCTTCCGCTCTTGATGAGAATCGACCATGTGCTCAGAGCTACACAGAGAAGCACCACGAGGCACCAGCAGGTGGTACAGCAGTTAAGGCACTAGACTCCCACATGGTTGACCACAGTTTGAGTCCCAGACCTGGCAGCTTGAGACTCACGCAGAGCGCACATGCATATATGCTCAAAATCCCAAGAAAAGGTGGAGGAGAAGGGACTGTGGCCTGGGCATCCCCCTGAGACCAGACTCCATGGTTATTTTATGTCTGTCAAATTAGACTAAAAAAAAAGAGAAAAAGGGGATGCATAATTCTCTCTCTCTTCTTATAGTTATTTACTTAATTTTATTTATCATTACTATTACTATTTTTTTAATTTGCTATATGGTATGTGCACTTGCCAGAGAGAAGAAGCAAGTTGCCAGATCTGGGACTTGAACCACGATTAGCCCCATGGGAGTCCACTGACTAAACCACCATGCTGACCCCTTTAGGTGACTCCCTCACCGTGCGAGGACACACCTGGGTGGTACCTAAGGTATGGGGTCCAGCCCATGGCTCCACCCTTTGGCCTGAATGTCACTGTCAGCACATAGCCACATGTGCATGGATGTATGTAGACACACACGCGTGTGCAAACATTGGCAGATGGAGTGTACTTTTTGTACATCTCCACGTTAGGAGAGGCTAGGAAATGTATTGGCGTTCGTACATCACAATGCCTATTCTATACAAAGGTGCACCGATTACAAGGATACACCCCCTGAAGACTATAGCAAGGTTTCCCGGAATAAGAACATGTTCCTTCATCACCGTGAAGACAAACGTGAATTCAATAAACTTATCTCCTGGCCAGTCCCTGGGCCTGTCCCATGGCCTTGTGAGTAAGAGCGTCAGATCCCCCATGGCCAATCACACCGTTCAAATCCCAGCACTGGTGGCTTGTAATGGATGCTAGGGCATGCGTGTGTGCGTTTCCCAAATCCCTCCAGGATGGAGAAGTGGAGGAGAAAGGGTTGTGGGGTGGCCATGCCCCACTGAGGGTGCTTTCTCCCTCTGTCTGACTCTTCCCTGCTTCTGGTCAGTACACATACTCTCTAGCAATTGGAAAAAAAAATGCTGGGACGACCAGTTGGCATAATGGCTATGTCACTGGACTCCCATGTAGTCGACCGTGGTTTGAGCTCCAGACCCGATGGCTTAAACTCACGCCAGGTGCGTGTGCTTCCGTGCCCAAGATCCTGAGAGGAGAATGGAGGAGAACGGATTGCGGAGTGGCCATCCCCCCTGGGGGGGGAGTGATTTCTCGCTTTTTGTCTCTCTCTGTCTTTCTGGCAAGCGTGCAAGCCCTATAGCAAAAACCTCTACAAAAAAAAAAAAAGTTGAAAAAAATTCTGAATCCATGAAATAACCTGATAAAAGACATAAAGTTCACTTGGAAAATCTTTTCATCACCATGGAAGAATTAAAAAACGAAAACTAAAACTTAAACAAAAACAAAAGGAAAACCTTAGTACATATGCAACAGAATAAGCCAAGATTTGTGACAGGGTTCATCAAATAAAATGACATTTAATTTGGGGCCGGCAGGTGGCATGGCGTTTAAGGGCACTGGAATACCACCTGGCTGACTGCGGTTTGAGTCCTGGATCTGACGGCTTGCTTCTCACTGTCTCTCTCTCTCTCTCTCCCTCTCTTTTTAAATATAAATAAATAAATAGATAAGTAAAGTTAAATAAAATAATTCAAAAAAGACACTTAATTTAAAAAGTATTCATTTTCTTGGTTTCATAATACAATCATACTTTAAAATCACTAAACTTTTATTTTTTATTTTTGGAGGAGAACAAATGAAAAACAAACAAACAAACAAAGACAAGATAAAGGTATTTCCTCGATTGTCTCCCAAGTCGCCATGCTCTTAGGGAGAGGGAAAGA